CCCCAAAACCCCAAAACCCCAAAACCCCGGCTTGATGTTATGATGTCTATCATAAGAGTTCATAATTAAATGGATTATTAAATCAATTTTAAGATTATTTCTCAGAGGATTATGATATTTGGTTTTAAACCGTTAAACTTCTATCCTTAACTAGTTTGATTTTAAAAGCTTTGCTTGATTTTCTTAACTAATGGCATCAATGATAGAGTGTCAGTTGACTGTTTTCTTGATTCAACATGTCTTGGTATTCCTCTTCCTACTTTATCTAAGAAATGCATCTTTGTCTTATTTTTAAGATTCTCAACTTAGTTCTTTTAGGAATTTACTATTGAAGAATTTGAGATTTAAGGCAACTTCTCAAAATATGAATTATTTTGGGAGTTGTAATTTGAATTAACGCTCTTCATAACTGATCTATTTCTTATGGTCTATGATGTCCTGCCATCTTAATCGTCGTCAAGTATCACAGACTTTTGTGGTTCAATATCTTCTTTCAAATGTGGTTAAGTTGTTCTATATATGTGACTTAAATCTTTGTTAGATTTGTTCCTCTCTCTTTTCCTATTTTTCTTTTCTTCATTATCAAATATAAACTCTTAAAGATTATTTTCACTTTAATTTTTTCTAATAACCTTTTGGATTATTTTAAGTTCAGTTTAACTTTGTCTTGTTTACCCTTGACCTACTTTATGTGATCTTTCACCATCCTATACTTTATCTTTATTCATTGTTCTTCTCATTATATCGTGTTTTACTTTCAAATTTTAAAGTTGCTATTCACTTTAAACCTTTTTTAATTTTTTTTCAACAAGGTGGATAGCCGGATGTTGCTGAAGTATCGGCTGTATTTTCCTAAAGGTGCTGTTTAAAGAATTTGTGTTTGATTGCCTAAAAGAAATTCTTAACATACTTTCATTTACAGTTGACTATGCTCCACTCTGTAAGGTTTCCTTCTAATTTGCTATCAAACTTAAATCATATTTTTTGTCTTTCAAAAGTTATTAAAAATTTGAGACCAATTTTTAGACTCCTTTGCTATATTAGATTTCAGGTGGAGGAATTAAGTCCTCTTTTTACGAATTCTTTTTGCTCTTGTCCTTAAATAGACTAATCTATGGAAGCTTCTGAGTGAAACTTTACTCATGATTGTTTTGAATTTAATCTTCAAATAAGGTAATATCAATCCAATTATCTGGCTATTACTATTCCTATTAAGAAAAATTATTCAAGCTATCCAAATTCTAAATTTAAATCTATATTGTATCATTTTTCTAAAGAGGAGAAACATTATTTTCTCTGTCTTAGCTTTCAACTATCGTCTAATATAGTTTATCACTGTATATACTTACTATCATTCTTTCTGGCATTAAAATTGGTAGTTTCGAACTAATCTAAGATTAGAATAAGCTTTTTCCCCTTTCTCTTTGGAGACCATTATAGGTCTAATAGCTATTTACAGATTGATTGGCGGAATCAGATCTTTTAAATAAACTCTAAGCTTATTCTTTAGACATCATCCTTGAACCCCTTCTTGCATAGGCATAATGATGAATTTTCTTTTTTTTCTTGAATTTGAGACTCTAAATAAAATTTAATACTAGTTTAATTATAAGCTTAATGTGCATTATGGATGATTTATCTTTATAATGCATGCATGACATATTGAGAATAGACTTACATTTCTTTTAGAGTCCTGACTTTCATCATTAAACTTATTATCAGAGGAATTCTCCTTATTTTTAAGGAACTTTGGCTTCTTATTAAGGAAAAGAGTTTTAAATTACTCTATTTTTTCTGGAAGATGTCTTAACTTATGTGTGAATTCAGTTTCATCTAGATCAATAGGATTTTTGAACTATTCTATTGACTCGAGTGATCCATGAGTATTCCTCATATGCTTATTAGTCATAGGTGTTTTAAACATTAGTCTTGCATTATTTTGATAATTTGGATTTCTCCCTCGTTTTTCGAAGCTATTATCTAAATTTCCGTATTAGTACTTAGCCATACTATTCATTTTTAGTTTGCAAAATTATCAATCAATATATTTTGTCAATGTTTTTAATTATTCTGCAATCTTTTATATTATCTTGTATCATGGGGTTTTGGGGTTTTGGGGTTTTGGGGG